GGGGTCCAGGATGTCAACGGGAAGTAAGGCAATTTACAAGAAGGTGCATGAGTTAATGTTTAGGAAACAAATGTTTGTTGGGCCATCTTGAAACAATGAAACCCAGGGAGGACTTTGACCAAATAGGCATTGCTAGGTCCCTTCGTGGTTACCACACCTAGTTCATACTCAACTATGGTTATCTATGATGATATCTCCCTTCCTGGAGCAGGGCCTCTAACTTCTTTTAGGCAGTGAGAGAGAAGGTCAAAGGTTTTTCCTGAGTCTTTCGTTTCTTAAACATAACCAGTTTAAAACAATATCCCAAAAGGCACATTTTGGAGTGGCAAACTCTGCTTCCCCTCTGAGGCTGATGGCTCCTCTTTATATCCCTACACGTGACAAAGGCTCGGGAGCTCTATGGAGTTCTTTTGTGAGGGCACTAATCCACCCTCATGACCTAATAACCTCCCTAAAGCCCACCCTGCCAATACACTAGGTATTAGGACTTCAACATATGAATGTGTGGAACACATTCAGTTCTCATCCAGGGTTGGTATCTTGTCATCATCTACACCTCCAACTAAAACAGTAAACCTTTTCTTTTTTTTATCCTCACCTGAGGACATTTCTGCATTTATCTTCAGATAGAACGGGAGGGAGAAGGGGAGAAGAGAGAGAGAAAAAAACATTGATGTGAGAGAGACACATCAAATGGTCACCACCCACACAACCCCAACCAGGGCTGCTGGGGCAAACTGCAACCGAGGTACATGCCCTTAGCGGGAACAGACCCCAGGACTCTCCAGTCCGCGGACTGACGCTCTAACCACTGAGCCAAACCAGCCAGGGTAAAACAGTAAACCTTTTAAATTCACCGGGACACTTCAGATTTGAAATGCCAATACCACTTTAAACCCATACCTATATTCCCTAGTTTAAACACATACACATCAAAATAAAACATGCCCGTGAATAACACAAAACCCGCATATTAGGAAAAAGGTTACTATCTCACTATGCCCTAACAGACTGGAACAAAATTCCTCTAACTCAGGAGTTGGCAAACTATAAGCCTGTGAGCCGAATCCTTCTAGCCGCCTCAAAAAACTTGAAATATAGCTATGCCCATTTATTAATTTATTGTCTGTGGTTACTTTTCACCATGGAAAAAAACAAATAATTTAAGCTTGTCCTTTACAAAAACAAAAAGCAAAAAAGCCATCAACCCTGCTACAACTAAAGGGAAAGTTTACGGTCTCTAGCACAGGGTCACCCGAAATGTGCTCTATAGATTGCCACTGTGCTGTGAACTGTCTACTATCGAAACAGTGTTTAAAATCTTTTATAGCATTTTGACATTGCCAAGACATTCTGGTTTTATCTCTTTTTTTTAGTGATTTGTTGCATTTTCAAGTATTAATTCATGAAAGATTAGAAATAAAACATTTTAGAAGTCACAAATTTTTCCATAAGAAAGATATGAGATAATTTAATACCCATGATATTTAGGTAAGTCTCAAGATAACAAAAGTCCGCCCTAGAGGTTTCATCCATAGCATTTATTTTGCCTTGAAAAACAAAATGGAACTAAAAAAGGCAGACCGAGGAAGCTTTAAAACTTTCTTGTCCCATGCCCATCTGGTGTGGCTCAGTGGACTGAGCGTCATCCCATGGACTGAGAGGTCCCAGTTTGATTCCCAGTCAGGGCACATGCCCGGATTGCTGGCTCGATCCCCAGTAGGGGGTGTGCGGGAGGAAGCTGATTGAGGTCTCTCTCTCTCACATGGATGTCTCTCTCTCTCTCCCTCTCTCTAAAAAAAAAAAAAAAAAATCAATAAAAACATGTTTTAAAAAAAAATGTCGTCCCACAAGCTGGGCTCCCAATAAAGGTCTAATTCTGTTGATGTAGTAAGTTCCCTGTATCAGAGATAAATTATTTATAATTAATGTATAATTATATACATAGCACTTTCTATACATAGATTTTAAAGGAACTAAATAAAATACAATCCAAGCCCTCTAGAAGCTTACACTCTAGAGGACTTGAGTGTAATAATATAAAAAAGGTCAAGTCTAAAAACTAAGGTGATTATAAAAATAGAAGACACTGGAGTTTGGGGGCAGCCACTACGAACAGACCATTGTTGAGTTGGTATATGAATTCATATATTAATGAATGTTGCTAGAATGTATCTATCACCCTTCTGTTAAGTGCCTTTCAATCTAACTGAATACTGTACAGTATAACCCCCCCTTATCTGCAGGGGATCTAAGACCCCCAGTGGATACATGAAACTGCAGATAGTACCACAACCTAGATATGCTCCATTTTGTCCCATACATATACTTATAAAGTTTAATTTATAAATTAGGTACAGTGAGAGATTAATAACAATTATAACAATATGCTGTAATGTTATGTGAATGTGGTCTCTCTCTGCTAACAGACCTGATAACCTAGCTGGCTCCTAAGTGACTAATGGGCAGGGAGTAAATACAGTGTGGATACACTGGACGAAGGGATGATTCACATTCTGAATGAGACATGTGAGAGATTTATTAGTTTTTGTTTTTTTTTTAAATTGATTTTAGTGAGAGGAAGGGAGAGGGGGAGAAACATCGATCAGCTGCCTCCTGTATGTACCCTAACTGGGGATTGAACCCACAACCCAGGTTATGTACCCTGACCAGGGAATCAAACTCTCGACCCTGCGGTGCTTGGGACAATGCTCCAATCAACTGAGTCACACCAGCCAGGTGCAGAGACAGGTGAGAGATTTCATCATGCTACTTAGTTGAGTAATGAGGGCAAGGGAAACAAAAGTAAACTACATCAAACTAAAACGTTTCTGCACAACAAAGAAAACATCAACAAAACAAAAAGACAACCTACTGTATGGGAGAAGATATTCGCCAATGATACATTCAATAAAGGGTTAATATCCAAAATGTATAAAGAACTCATACAATTTAACACCAAAAAAAAAAAAAAAAAAATTAAAAAATGGGCAGAGGACCTAAATAGGCACTTCTCCAAAGAGAACATACAGATGGCCATTAGACATATGAAATGATGTTCAATATCACAAATCAGGAAAATGCAAATTAAAATCATATCACTTCACACCTGTCAGAATGACTATCATCAATAATCAAGTGTTGGCGATGTGAAGAAAAGGGAACCCTTGTGTGCTGTTGGAAGGACTGTAAATTGGCCCAGCCACTATGAAAAATATTAAGGTTTCTTAAAAAATTTAAAATACAACTACTTTATAACTCAGCAATGCCACTCCTGGGTATTTATCTGAAGACATTCAGAACACTAATTAAAAAAGATATATGCACCCCTTTGTTCATTGTAGCCTTATTTACAACAGGCAAGATATGGAAGCAACCTAAGTGCCCATCATTGGATAAAGTTGTGGTACATACAAATGAAATCAGCATTTGCAACAGCATGGATGGACCTAGAGGGTATTATCCTAAATGAAATAAGTCAGACAGAGAAAGACAAATACTATATGATTTCACTTATATGTGGACTATAATGAACAAAATAAATGAACAAACAAAACAAAGACTTATATATACAGAAAATAAACTAATGGTTCCCAGATGGGAGGGAGGTTGGGGATCTGGGTGAAGAAAAGTGAAGTGATTAAGAAGCACAAATTGACAGAAATACTCCTGGGATGTCGAGTACAGCATAGGGAACACAGTCAATAATATTCTAGTTACTCTGTATGGTGCCAGGTGGGTACTAGACTTATCAGGGGGATCAGACCATATATAATTCATAAATTATATAAATGACTAACTACTATGTTGTACAGTTGAAACAAGAACAAAATAATGAGTGTCAACTGTAATTGAAAGAATGAATGCATACATACATAAGGTGAGCAAACTTATGGCATCACTTAGTCAAGATTTATTTCAAAGCCTGAAATCATTCAAACCAATCAAAATTGATACTACAACAATTTCTTATAATACATCAATACTTAAAACTAAAAGTTACAAACATCAGACGGTACTACCTAACTCCTAACCCACACATTGTACGATTTAAGTGATGGCAATTTCACAAAATGTAAGGTGACAAAATAATAAAGAACTTCCACAAACTTACTGAGGACATAATTAGCAGCAATGGATTCAAACACAAATTTGGTTTTACATTTTCCATGTTTATTTTCAGCTTTCTTCATAAAGCCATGATAAGAGGCTTCTTTCAAGTACAGAATTTCTAACATTAAATTACATTTCCTAAGTATTTTAATAGAGAAATGAATAAAACATACTACACTGCATAAATCCATACACCAAAAAGTAAAACACAATCCTACTGAATTTACTCATTCTTCCTCTTCTCCAACATTTAACTTTAGATGTTATTCTAAATACCTTATAAATATTTTGGTTAAAGTTAGTTCTCTATTTGTACAGATTAGGGGAAAATTATTTGTAGTAAGTAATCTTTAAAATTACCTTTTCTATACCTCTGTCTCCATCCCCCAAACAAATCTGGTGCCAAAGTGAGTAATATAATATACTGCTTCTAGAGTCTAAAGAACCCATAATCTTAATTTCCAATGATTTCAACTACCTGCTAATATAAACAAAAGTCTCCAATGCCCCAAAATCACTTCTTAATTATTAGGGAAAAAATGCATAGCATGAAAATTATTTAACTAAAACTTTATTAGTTATACCTTCCCCCAAAGCTATAAGCACTCTTATCATTAAATTACATTGTGCAGACACAACTACAAGTTTGTTTGCTCAGGAACATATAATCACGTTAAATATAAATAACTTCTATTTCATAGTTTAATTGGCTCTTAAACAGTTCCCCTAGGGGGAAAACAAGAAACTGGCATATATTCATGAACTGCTATGTGTCCATTTAAATTTTGCGGAAACTTAAAGATGAAGCTTTCAGTGCTTTCCATATAAAGACAGGATGAAATGGTAGAGATGGATGCAATCCTTTAGGTCAGAGGATATTCTAAATGGGGAAAAGAAAAAAAACACTTGACATAGGCAATTATTTAAAGGAGAAAAAAAACCAAAGTCAGAAAAATACTGAAGAATATCTACTCTTAAAAAGAGAAAAGTGCTATACAACACAGAAATGAAACCTACAAGTTCAAACATAATACTCATTTTAATGTTTTAAAAGGCAAAAAAACTGATAGGTAGAGGGAGTCCAGACCAATCAGAACTGAGGCAGCTGTAAAAAAAAAAAAAAAAAAAAAGAACACAATACAATGATTTCTTTTACGATTTGACCTCATAAAAGAAATGACTAATTAAAAGTTCACAAGTCTTCATGTTTGTAGTAATATAGTAAAGTACAAAACATAAAAGCACAAAGTATGAATTTTCCCCCTTAGGTTTATAATAAACTATCAAATCTGTTTAATACATTTACTTTTATAAGCCCTGTCTTATTGCAGCACATTATACAAGTACATACATGCTAGTATTTCACCATGAGGATCAGTTTTCATTTCAAACTAGTGACTTGCCTTTTTACCCATAGCTATATACATTTCATTTCCCTCATGAAAAGCTTAAGACCTTTCTAGTGGTAAATTTTAGTCAACATATTACATAAAAAGAATCTTGACTTTTAAAATTAATCTTTTAGTACTATACATGATGGGTTTAATTGAACATGAAGCATAATAATTACATTGTGCTGTTTAAACTAATTCACAGCTGTAGGAACATTTCTGGTTTTTAAAATATAATCAAGATGAGACTGCAAAGCTATGAGCAGTAAAATACTAGAAAACAGTGAACGAGTAAGTAAGATGATTGTTCATCAGTGGCCATTCATTATTTTGCTTTTAGGAACCTGGAAGAAATTGTCTTCCTTGAGTTTCAAATGTTCTGGTAAATCCAGTCGTTTCTTAGCTTCCTCTATATCACCTTGAATTGCTGAAATAAGTGACTCTGCAGAGAGAACATACCAAATGAAGACAATGAGAACTCCTGCCCCACTTTTTACTACTCCTTTGCTCAACCTCTCCAAAAAGCACCCCTCAAGGCTGGCAGTGTCTCTGGAACAGGGTAGCTGTCTAGTAATGGTTCTGTCCATTCTTCAAGACAAGTAAAAAGTCAACAGTATACAAAAGATGTCTCTAATCTTACTGCAATTTCTTAGAGAACGGCATTAGGAAAAAGGAACAGTGCAGATATCAAATGGAAGAAACAAATATCACTATCAATTCTCTTCAGCATTTACACTTGTAAATAAAACTTTATAGTTAAAACTATCCCACTACACGAAGACACTTGTTCAAATGTTTTGACTTGTTTCTTACACCAAGCATTGCAACACATCCATTCCCATTTCAGTTTATTAGTTCTTACTTGCTCTTTAAAATATAAAATAAAAATTTCATTAACTTCATCTTGTTGAAGAGGCAGCCAGCCTGCTGGGTTTGAATCTACAGTCCATCACTTCCTATGTGACACCCGAGCAAATTATGTAACCTCTCTGTGCCAATTTCCTCATCCACAAAATGGGCAGAATAATTCCTCATATGGTTGTTGTGAGGATGAAAATGACTTAATTCATGCAAGGCAATTCATACAGTGCCTGGCACACATTAAATGATCAAATATTATCTGTACTGCCATGGTTATTACTAATAGAAGCAGAAGTAGCTGCAATAATACTTAAGATAATCTAACTAAGAACTTACCTAGAGAATCAAAGTTCTTTTCTGGTCTGAGGTAGCCAACAATGGCCACATTGAGAATTTCCCCATAAAAGTCCTCTTTGAAGGTATGCATGATATGAGTTTCCTACAGTCAAGAAATGTTTAAAAAAAAGATTACTGTCAGGTTACAGAATATCTGAAATTTGAAATGCACATAATAATGGTGGGGTAATTTAAATGAAACAATCGACCCCACTTAAATTTTGAAAGACAGGTTAAAATCTAAATGCAGTTTTCCCTGAATTCTTCCATTGCTCCTATTCCTGCCCCTGACCTTACACGTAAACATTATTACTGAGTAATGTAGCTGTTATACCACAAATCTGGTATGATCTGCTGTTTATATATATAAAAAAAAGCCAATACGTAGTAAAGTAATTAAGAATCTTATCAAAGTGAAAAAACTGAGCAAAGACACCAAAGAGGGAATGATCAAAGTATTAAGAGATGTTACCACAAACACAATTAGTTCTAAAGTTAACCAGGATCCATGTGTCTCTGACGCACACCCACTACAGAAACTTTTGCGGGTTATAAAACTGAAGACTGATTGGGAGGCAGGACAGAAGAGCCCACGCTGGTTACTGATCTAGGAATGATGTAAGAAATGGGTACAACATGTACTGGAGCAAAGTGGTGCAGGGGTGGTAGAAGATGCTCTGGAGATCTGAATTTTAGTAGGTGCCTATAAAGAACAAATCTGAGTTCAAAAGGCAGAAAAACCAATGCAAGAAGCAAGCAAATATGTAAGACAGTTGAGGCTGGACTAGGATGTGGCACTGGAAACTGAGAAGGTTACACACTTTAGAAACATGTAACTTGAGACTAGAGGTATATTTTGAAGTGTAGGACTTAAGAAAATTTGATCTATGAAGTTATCCTTATATCTGAAGCAGCTACTACAAATCAACTAAGAGTACTAGATCATTCAGTAATAAAACTAATCAAGAGATAAGAGCAACTTACACTTAATAAGAATGGCCTATAAAAGAAATCAAATGTGAAAATCTGAGTAATTCTTTCTTACCAAACATAGCAGGTTCACCCTGTACACTTAAAATAATTCAGACCAGAAAAAGAGGAAATATAACACAAGACTTTTATATTAAGGCGAGTTTTCTTTTTCTCTTAAATAAAAGAACCTAGTCTTTCATAACCTTTTTGGTTTTCATCTTGGGGGGTGGGGGAGTGTTCATGATCCTTTGAGGTCATTAACATAGGCTTTCACCAAGTGTCCCTAAGTAAAGCTGCATGATTTAGAAATTTTATGAAGCCCTCTAAAAAGAGAACAATTTAAAAGAAAGAAATATAGATATCAGAAACAACTACTCTTAAAGCTCTCATTTGGTTTTGTTAGATAACTAAACCATTTATAGATGAGTTGAACTTATATACTGTGTCAAATTCAAAGTGTGTAAGAGAAGCAAGGCAGTACTGTAGTAAGAGCACCGAGTTAAAAGTCAAGTCTCAGGTTGCACATTGGCTAAAGGCATACCTTAACCTCTCAGGGCCTCAGTTTTCTCACCTGAAATTGAGTGGTCTGAGTGAGAAGACAGAAGGTGCCCCATGGCTTTGTACTATGAATCAGTAAGTTAGACTCGTATTCTTTCTTTTCAGTAAAATTTAAATAAAAAGGAAACTAAGATATGTAAGATCTTGACAGTGACTATTACAAAATATTATTGAAAGAAACGGTAAAAATGTCTCCTTTCTACAGATTCAATGCTATGCCAATCAAAATCTTAATTGTGTTTTTTTTTTTAAATATGTTTTTATTAATTTTTTAGAGAGAGAGGAAGGGAGAGAGAGATATAAACATCGATTGACCATCCCCCACACATCCCCTACTGGGAACTGAGCCTGCAACCAGGGCATGTGCCCTGATAGGAATCGAACCAAACCCTCTCATTCCATGGGACCACACTCAATCCACTGAGCCACACTGACTGGGCTTTTTTTTTTTTTTAAATAACAGAAACTGACAAGTGATTCTAAAATTTACATTGTGCCCTGGCTGGTTTGGCTCAGCAGTTAGAGCATAGGCTCGAGGACCAGAGAGTCCCGAGTTCGGTTCCCACTAAGGGCATGTACTTCAGTTGCAGTTTATCCCCGGCCCTGGTTGGGGTCGTGTGGGTGGCAACCACCTGATGTGTCTCTCTCACAATGATGTTTCTCTCTCTCTCTTCCTCCCTCTTTCCCTCCGGCTCTATCTAAAGATAAATGCAAAAAAAAAAATGTCCTCAGGTGAGGATAAAATTTACATTGCAATATAATAGGCCAAAATTATCCAAGAAATCTTGAAAACAAACCTGGAGGACTTATACAATCAGATATCGAGACCTACTGTAAAGCTATGGAAATTAATGTGGCAATGGCTCAAGGATAAACTAGGAGACAGACCAATTCAATGTATGAGTGTATCTTGCACTCACACAGGTAAAATCACTTGATTTAAGACCAAGGTGAGCCCTGGCCGGTTTGGCTCAGCGGTTAGAGCGTCGGCCTACGGTCCGGAGAGACCCGGGTTCGGTTCCCACTAAGGGCACGTACCTTGGTTGCAGTTTGTTCCCAGCCCTGGTTGGGTTGTGTGGGTGGCAACCACTCGATGTGTCGCTTTCACATCGAAGTTTTTCTCTCTCTCTCTCTCCCTCTCACTCTATCTGAACAAAATATCGAAAAATGTCCTCGGGTGAGGAAAAAAAAAAAAGACCAAGGTGACACTGCAGCACTGTCAGGATAGTATTTTCAATAAATGGGTTGGATCAATATTCCTATGAAAATAAAACTAATTTTGACCCCTACCTCAAACCATGCTCAAAAATCAATTTCATGAGAAAAGCAAAATAATCAAGCCTTTAGGGGGGAAAGAAATCTACCAATATCTTTTAGATTCTGTGGTAGACAAAAATTTCTTAAATAGAATATAAAGAGTACAAATCAAAAAATAAATATGATGAATTGACTTATATTAAAATTAAGAACCTCTGCCTGGCCAGTGTGGCTAAGTGGTTGAGTGTTGATCCATGCACCAAGAGGTCATCAGTTCAATTCCCGGCCAGGACACATGCCCAGGTTGCAGGCAAATCCCCAGTGGGGGCATGTAGGAGGCATCAGATCAATGTTCTCTCTTGGGGATATTTTATCTCTCTCCCTCTCTGTTCCTCTCTCTCTAAAATCAATAAAGAAAAATAGTCAAAAAAATAAAATTAAGGACCTGTTTTTCAAAAGACCCCATCCCAGCTCTGGTTGGTCTGGCTCAGCAGTTAGAACTTCGACCTGAGCACCAAAGAGTCATAGGTTCGATTCTGGTCAAGGGCACGTATCTCGATTGTGGTTCAATCCCCGGCCCTAGCCAGGGTCACGGGGAAGGCAACCAATAGATGTGATGTTTGTTTCTTTCTCTCTCTTTCCCTCCTCCTTCCTCCTGCCCACTCTATCTAAAAATCAATGGGAAAATATCCTCAGGTTAGGATTAACCAAAAATAAATAAATAAATAGTTAAAAATGTAATTTAAGAGTTTGAATATGCTATTAAAGTTGGTGCAAGTTCAAATTCCTTTTTTACAACTTCAGGATGTTAAATGGAATCCCCCATTATAACCAAAGAATATCTACTGTATAGAGAATCAAAATGTGTCACTACAAAAATATCAACTGAACACAAAAGGCAGTAATGGAGGAAATAATGGACAAAAAAGCTATAAAGTATACAGAAAACAAGTAACAAAATAGCATTAAGTCCTTCCTTATCAGAAATAAGTTTAAACACAAATGGGTCAAACACTGCCAAACAAAAGGCATAATTAGCAGAATGATCTAAAGGACAAGATTCAACTATACACTTATAAGAGATTCACTTTAGATCCAGACACAAAAAGATTGAAAGTGAAAGGATGGAAAAAGTTATTCCATTCCAATAGTAACAAAATACTTCACTTTAAAATCTTTCAAGTATGCTGCCAACAAATCTAGAATTTAGACTATGTTATGATTATCAGTGATGTGGTCTATACCACTATGTATATCTAACAATGCATAATGTTCTAAATCGTCATCCCATTTTCAGTTACAAAGCGAAATACAATTCTTACCATGGACTTTTTTGTATTCTTGTAGTATGGGTTCCATCCTATGCTCACCACCATCTTATGGACATCTCCACTTCCAACACTGGCCCATCCATAATAAATGCCGGTGGATACATCGGCTGGAAGATTATCTACTACTTGTTCAGGAAAATTAGCTTAAAAACAGAAGTAAGTATTCTAAGTGTTAAGAGTATCATATTATTTATAAAAACCACAGGGGGAAAGCCCTGGCCTGCACAGTTAGAGCCTTGGCCCCTCCCTGCTCCCTTGCACTCCCTCTTAAAAAAAAAAAACAATGGAAAAAATATGCTCCAGCGAGGATTAACAACAACAAATCGCAGGCAAATCTAGTCTAAATAATCAGGCTCACGAGATTCCTAGGACTTTGCCTATGATTATCAATCCCACCATTCCATATTCTGGGTTGAATTTCTCCTCTTTATGTGGTGGGGTTAGGAACAAGGTACCCGATTACACTCTGATGTAGAAGAAACTTAAGTACACGAACAGCTAGAATTTTTAGACCTGGTCTTTTGGAATCACTTGGAAAGAGTCTCATTTTCGAAATACATACACACAGTCTCCAAACTCAAAGACTGCTTTAATAGGTCTGGCGGCGGCCCAGATTCCAATTTTTAAGGACGCATTACGTCCACCCTCGGGTCCCGACTACTACAACTAAAGGAGACAGACAGAAAAAGGGATCTGGTTCTCATTCAACTGCCTGTGTGATCACTTGGACACAACCTAATACAAGATTTTTTTTTTTCAACCTAGAGTTGGTTTGAGAATTTACCCAATCTGCCCAAATTACGTTTTCTATTGGGTAAGGCTCTTGCCACGCCTGGCAGCTCTCTCATGGCTGGATATAGAGGCCACAAAGGGGGGCCCCCAAAACTCAGCTCCGGCTTCCCGCCCTCTCCACTCCTCCATCCACGTCCCTGAAGAACTCGAAGCCACCGGCCAGGACCTGCTCCCTCGGCCGCCCCGGGGAGCGGGAACCAGCAGAGGGAAGGGTGTGCCGTCCCCTCCGTCCGCAGCCTCGCGACCCTGTCCCCAGACCCGTCCTGAGCCCCGACTGACGTTCCCCCGCCACGTGACCCGCTCTCGGAGCTCCACGCCCTCCCGCGCTCACCTGTGGGGATGCCCAGCTGCTTGGAGCCGCGGCCAAAGCCCCGCACCACCTGGCCGCGGCAGAAGTACGGCAGGTGCTTCATGACGCCGTCCGCTCGCGGCGCGGGCTGCGGCCCAGTCCGCAGGTCCGGCGGAGCCGCCGTGGAGGCTGTGCCAGGACCCCCGGACCAGCCGGGGGACTCGGGCGGGAGCTCGGCCGGCTGACCCGGCGGGAGCACAACGGGCGGGGAGGCGCCGGGACACGCCGGAGCAAGCCCCTCACGCTGCTGACCCAACAGAAACTGCCTGGCGACAGGGCGGCGGTCTCCGCCTCGAGGGCAGGGACGGCGACGGCGGAAATAAATGCGATTGTGGGCGTGGAGAGCGGTCAGGGCGACCGGCGCGGAAAAAGTCTGCCGAGCGCCACGGGCCGGCGCACACTTGCTAGGCTCGCTCGGCTTCCGTAGCCCCGCCCCCCGTGGCCCCGCCCCGCCCCGCCCCCAGCTCGTCCCCGTTGCTTGGATGTTCCCCGCCCCGGCCTTCCGAACTGAACTGCCGGGGAGCCGCTGGTTCCGCTCCGAGGCTGTGATAGCGCTGTTCTGAAACAGTACCAAGTGTTTCTTTTCCCTGCCTCGTTTTCATGATCACCCTGACGCCAAATAGAGCCATTCTTTAGGTCTTTGGCAACCATTAGGCTACTTGTCATTCACCCCTCATTCTGCTCTTAAACGTTTATTGAAGTTCCGAAATTCCAGCTCAGAGATCACCTCCTCCTGGGGGATCCTCCGGGCTGCCTGCCAGAGTGCCCTCCCTTCGACCACGGGGAGAAGTTGTATCACAATGGAAGCTCCAGGGGCGCAGTGGAAGTTCACAACGATGGGTCCCCCCACACCCCAGGATGGGTGCAGCCGCCTACCCTCCTGTGTTCTTGACAATTTAATAAGCCTGATGAAAGGCTTGGTCTCCACTGCAATGCAAATCTGTGAGCATTCTGACCCTTGGAACTGCAAACATTACCTCCAGAAGTATAAGATATACACGACTCACAATGTCATCCTCCTGTCTCGGTCTTGAGAAAGAAGTGTTAATTGTTATCTTTTACCTTTCTCTACTGAAGGGGAGCAGAGTTTGCCACCTCAAAATATGCCTTTTTGGGGATATGGGTTATTTTAGGCTGGTTAATATAAAGAAACAGATGTGGGAGGAGCTCTGAAAACCAAGTTTAAGTTCCCCTTTGTAAGAGAATATTCATATTTGTAAGGGAAGGCTGCATTTTCAAGGGTGTTTCCCTCATTGTACTGGGAAGGGGAGGATATCTAAATCTGTAAAACTATTAACAATGAAGAAGTGTGGACTTAACTCTGTGTAACAATCTTACCCTTGTTAACTGCTTTTCCTGGTAACTTCCCATAACTGCCTCCCCAACTCCAACATCTTTTGTCTTTAGCTGAAGGTGGCATTTAAGGTGATGACTTTCAATTGTGTGTTGTTGTTAACCCTAAAGGGAAGATTATTCCACTGATTTTTAAATAGAATGGGACTGAGAGAAAGAAAGAGAGAGAGAGTGTTGTAACCCAGGAGATCCACCAAACTCAGACACCGACATGGGGTTTAACAAAAGGAGTTTATTGAGCTAAATCTGCAGGCACCTGCAGTATGTCCCACACAGGAGTAACTGCGGCCCCGAAGAGCTAAAATGGCTCCTTTTTATAGGATTTTGTAAGGAGGGTGCTACGTGTAAGCAAGCATGTTACAGAAGCGGAATTTAGCAGTTAGTTAATTGCCTGTTACTCAGTTTCCCAGACATCTCAAAGGTCAAGATGTTTTCAATAGATTATCCCTGGCGCCGCCCAAGATTACTCAAGGGTTAGTTATTACCCCAGGGTTAGCGATTACTTAGGGATTACAGTGATACCTCGGTTCTCGAACGCCTCGGTTTTCGACCAAATGGAGATTCGAGAAACTTTTGTCTCGGAATCCGAACAAATATTTGGAACTCGAACTTCCGAGATGAGCCGAATGGCATTCATTCGGCCCAGCGCACCTTGCTTGTGTCATCAGTGTGAGTGCAGAGAGAGAGTCACGCTTTGTGGAGTCACGCTTTCCTATTGGTTTCATTGCTTCGGTTCTCAAACAATTCGGTTCTCGACCGTCCTCCTGGAACGAATTATGTTCGAGAACCGAGGTATCACTGTAGTTAGTGAAGAATGTTCTTCAGTAAATGAGTAAACTGACAACCCCTTTGGTTGTCGTGAAGGTCTCTGGGAGTTTGGGTCAATGGCACTGAGTTATAACATTCCCCACTTGTTCTGGTGAATTAATCAAATCCTTGATTTATATTAGTCATGGATTAGGGGTAAGCGTTGGTAATGTTGCTGTTGGGCTAGTACCATAAGCTTAATTGATTGGACCCGCTTCTTGACAAATGCAGTGATTCTGTTAAGGATGATAGGTCCACAGGCTAAGGCTACGGATAAGAGGAGGAGCGGACCCACTAGAGCTGTGAGGAGGGTGGTCAGCCAGGGAGACCAATTGAACATACTCTCATACCATGAGGTAGAGGTATGTTCTTCTCTCTCTCTATCTTGTAATCGCTTTTGCAGCTCTTGCATAGATTGTCTGATGATACCTGAGTGGTTAGCATAGAAACAACAGGTCTCTCCTAGGGCAGCACAGAGGCCTCCCTGTTTGAGGAAGAGCAGATCTAGACCTCTGTGATTTTGGAGGGCCACTTCGGCTAGGGAGTCAACCTGTTTTTCAAGGTATTTGACTTGGGTCTGGAGTAATTCAACATCGCGGGAAAACGTGGCTGACAGCTCACGAAGGGCAAGGTCATTCTTAATGAGGGCTGTCGCCCCTAGGGCAGTGGAGCCGGCAATACCCAGGGTAGCCAGTACAGGGATCAGAATGGGTACACGTTTCTGGAGTCTAGTATGATAGTCTGAGGCTAGAAAATGGGCTGCACCTGTGGGCCCTGTATATAGGTATACCTGGGGAACTATATAGATAACAACACAAAGATCTGAATGATTCCCGGGGCGAATGCAATGGTGGATACCTGATAAGCATGCAAGCCAAGTCCCGCTAGGTGCAATCAGAGTCCATGGGGTTGAGCCTTCGGCTCGCAGAGAGGTGTTGGTCAGGCAGTTGTCCTTGTATGGCGAAGCTTGGAGGTTGAGGTTTCCAAGGACGAAGCAGGTCCCCTGTCCTTGAAGATCTCCTAGGGTGAGCTTGCCGGCTAGGGCACAGTTGGCAAGGGTTCCTTCCCCAGGTGAGTCTGAGTCACTAAAAGTTTGGTTCATGGGGGCTAGAGTACCCGTGGCATTTGCTCCAATACTAACATAGTAGGGTGGTGCTGAATCTACACAGAGCCAGCAGTCTTTGGTGGTGTTAGGTTGAGAACTATTTAAGAGGGAGAAAACAGAATCTAACATGGTTAGAAGCGAGTTGCTAAAGGAATTGAGGGGGTGTGGCGTTGGCACCTGAGGGGGCCCAAAGGCTGGAGCTATTGCCCTATTCCGGTTCTCTAGAGACTCTGTGGGTGTTACTGGGTTGAGAATGTGGTTTGGTTCGATGGGAAGCTGTGGGGGTAGACCTCCGGCAGGGTTGGGCGGGTCCCTCCGAGAAGGAACCCAGGGAAGTCGCTGGATGGTGAATAAAGTACCAATGTCATATCCAGCGAGATATAGTCTCAATCCCCATGTTTTTCCAGTAAGCCAGGCTGAGTTTAGAGGCTGTTTTATAGTAATAGTGGGGGGGTTACAAGTTTGGTTCTTGCAAGTAGGGTCTATTCCTTCTTTTCCCTTGTGGGTATGGGGTGTGGGGTCCCGCAGGAGGGTTATATCATCATCATTGCCGCCCCCTGGTGACCATCCAAGGGCTAGGGCCTCACAACCCCAGACCTTACAATAAAATTCTCCCGGTCCACCACATATAGTCCTCATATGTTTGGGGAATGGGTTCTCGGGACAACCATAATGCTGAGTGCTCCATAGGACATGGTTAAGGTGTCCCAGGTTACAGACTGAAGTTTTACTAGCTGAGTCAAAGCGAGTTATTGGTTGGGTTGTGTGACAGGAACCAAATTCTCCGTGACAGAGGTTGTCATCAAAGAATTGTGAAAAGTCAGTCTTAAGGGTTACCTGGGAGGTTTGGAAGGTCTCACTGATGGCCAGCCTAGAGCCATCTCTAGTCCTGGTGAGGACCCAAGTATGTTTAGTTGGAATGCTGCAGAAGGTAGGGACCCACAACAAACTCAAGAGGATGCAGTAAACTTGAGTTTTAGAGGGTCTGTGGGATCCTTGAAAAGGGCCCATTTCTTTGGGATCTGATCAGGGTGTGCTTTCTTTACCTGGGTGTGGTGAATCCACGGTCTCTTATTAGACACCTTAAAGGCTATGGGGGTTGTCAGAATTACCAAGTGGGGCCCATCCCAGGTAGGTTCGAGGGTTTCCTTGTTAAACTTCTTGATCCAAATCCAGTCACCAGGCTCAATGTCCAGTGGGGGTGGTTCCGCTTCAGTGGGTTGTTTTCTTTCCTTGACTGAGAGGCAGGCCTCTCTTCTGATGACTTTGATGGCCTGCAAAGACTTGAGAAGCCCCTGGTTAGATAATTCGCCTATGTGGTCATAGTGAATCTTAGGGATAATAGGTGGTGGTCGCCCATAGATGATTTCATAAGGGGTAAGGTTCTTGAGATATGGGGTGCATCGGGTGCGCAACAGAGCAAATGACAAGAGGTTTACCCAATTATCACCGGTTTCAATCTTAAGTTTGGTAAGAGTCTCCTTAAGAGTTCTATTCATTCTCTCTACCTGACCTGAGCTTTGGGGTCTATAGGAACAATGTAATTTCCAGCCTATTCTGAGAGCTTCTGCTATTAATTTGGAAATTTTGGCTATGAAAGCCGGCCCATTGTCTGACCCCAGTACTAAGGGCAGGCCAAATCTAGGAATGATCCCAGTTAGGAGATGTCTGGCAACTACGTTAGCAGTCTCATGCCTTGTGGCAAAAGCCTCAGTCCATCCTGAGTAGGTGCCAACAAAAACTAGTAAGTACTTAAATCCAAATTTGCTGGTTGAGATCTCAGTAAAATCAAGTTCCCAATGCTCACCTGGTTCATGCCCTCTGATTCGGACCCCAAGTCCATGGGGTCTGGGAGGCCCTGGATTTACCTGTGCACAGGCAGAACATCGGGTAACCTCCGAAGTGGCTATAGTCTTGAGATCTGGAATATAGAAGTGTCTACTGACTAGAGAGATTAATTTTGATGTGCCTAGGTGAGTACTATAGTGGAGATCTCTAATGAGAGCAATTCCCAAGGCTTTGGGGAGAAGTAGTCTTCCATCGGGGAGCCGATGCCAGTTCCCCTTTTCTGTTGAACAATTTAACTTCCTTCCCAGGTGGAGCTCCTCTTCATTGTAGGATGG